CTCTACATGTGAGATTGAATAGAAATATGTGATTATTTTAATCATTAAAATAGTTTCCATGTTTTTAAGTGTTTTAGTAAAATACTGGCAACTGATTTCCGCAATTGTTTTTCATTTAATTTTGTTTTGTTATTTTATATGAGAAAATTGAATCATGGAAACAATTTTTCAAACAAGTTCCTGCAATGAAAATCAATATAAAGGTTGATATAATTATCTTATTTTAACCCAGAAACACTGAGTATGGACGATGGATATTTGACCGTATACGGATTGCGATTATATTAACCGTAATGTTAATAATAAATTTATCATTTAATAATTATTGATCCGAAGTCAAGGATTTCGCTGCTTTAATGTGTGATATTCGCGATGACAGCGAAAGACGCATTAAATATGATGAGAAATTTTTCTGATCGTGTAGGGAATAAATTTATTGATTTTGCGGTCTAATTTTACAATACACTTGATTTGATGTAAAAGATTGGAAAACGAGCTTAGTCTCAAAGCAAACCCTCAACTGTGACATTGAGTGCTGTATTACTGGTTAATCTCTTCATTCTATTCGATATGATTACGTGCTCCTGTAGGCCTCTCATTATACTATCTGTATATTAAGACGCTGTGCCTTGCTACTGCACGCCTAAGTAATTACAATGGCATGATGCCTATCTCTTGCAGTCCTAATTAATATTGATATTGTACTTCCTTCATAATAGAATGCCTTTGCTACTGCAGGTCTAATTAATACTAACATTACACTTCCTTCAAAGTAGGATGCCTAGCTCCCACGAGCCTAATTAATACTAACATTACACTTCCTTTAAAATAGAATGCCTAACTCCCGCCTGCCGTATTTAATACTAATATTACTCGTCCTTCACATGTTTATAAGGACGTGTAGGATGCCTAGCTCCTGCAGGCGCTGGCGTGCGCCCCGTTGCACAGGCTCGGCCATTTTCAGGTAGCGGCGGCCGGTATCGAGCGCCGCGCGTACTCGGAGCGGCAGCGAATGACACGACGCTGTTCCGCTACCGGTAACACGACGCGCTAGTTCCGGTGATTATGCGCCGGTTTCTTCCTATACCCATCGAATTATTGATTAGTTTATTGGTTTCTGGAATGATTGTCGTGCTGGGATTATTGAGAGCGCAATTTAAATGCAAAGGCATATTAGGTTCGTTTTTAAGAATCGCTGTTGAATTTTATCCACGCAATCAATATCCATAAAAATAACATCCATATTTTAGGGTCTTATTGCACGATTTTTTTACGATGATTCTTTTAATTAATCAAGATTAAATTCAGCAAAATCCTGATCTGAACGATCAAGGGCTTGAATTATTTCAATAAAAGTTATGACTCATATTTTTTGTAAGGACTCTTCCTAGATCGACTGACATCAACAAAAAATATTAATTAATTCTGAAGTGAACTGCAATACACCGAATTTTCAATTTTACTTTATTTATATCGTGTAAAATGTAAAGACAATTTTCACCAAGAATATTACCTGAAAATTAGTAGGTATAAATACAACGCGGTAATCGAAACACAACTAGAAGTTCAATTAATTGCTCGGCCAATTATATTTTGCTGAAATATTAATAGAGTATTTACGAAGTAAGGTCTACGAAATAAGTAAGTGGGATAACTTTCTATCGTGTATAATATCCTGCATGGGTTTGTATAGCGCGCCCTTCTTATTTGAATTCGAATATCAGTTTATATGATTGTCGAATATCAGTGCGATATTATTCTGACAATCATGAATAAACTAGACCACAGTACTAACGCCGAAATATAAATTTGATCATACTTCAAACTTCTACATGAAAATTAGCCATGGATTAATTTTCTATTTTAAAACTAAGAAATAAAACCTATTGTACTTGATTTCTTCATACGTTTTTATAAGTAAATTTATGTAAACTTCGATCCTTGGCATTTGTGTTGTGTGCTTTTTTATTGAAGGATTCTACTGTGAAAACTTCCTTTTACTTTCTCTCTTACTCGCACTACAATAATAATAAACGACATGATGTGATCAGCATATAAAGCTTTAAAACCCATAGGAACAAAATTTCACTCTAGGATCGTAAAGTTTCTAACAAAATGTCAATTCGATCAAATAATTTGTTTGGTAATTTAGGCTTCCATAGCGACAGTGTAACAAATTTGGCTTTCAATAGCGATGCTCTAATTTGAATGGTCCTATGATATCTCAGATCAATCTGCATGCAAGATGAATTCTAAATGAAGTAAAGCGGGCCGATCGACTCTAGTTTCGGAACGAATTGAACCTGCGGCAGCCGTAACCTCGTCGTCGTATAATGTAATCAAGTATTCATGCCAGCTCGTGTAGGCTAACTCTAGATTGCCTACCGATTATTTAAATTTCAGCGAGCGGTTTTGTTTCGCTTGTGGATGCTTTAATTTACGACAAATTATTTCAACCGATTGTTTTTTTTACAAAAAATCGTGCAATAAATAAAATGTTTTACAGCTGTAAAATTTTGGTCGCACAAGTTGTTTTGTCTCACATCTGGATGCTTCAATTTAATAGACTTATTCAGTCAATTTTTTTTACAAAAATCGTACATTAAATACTAGCTTTAAATAGCGTTTTTTTCGCAAGTGGTTTTGTCTCAAAACTAGAAGCTTATAATTTACGACTTACTCTTTCAACCGATGTTCTTTTAAAGAGATAGGTGCAATAAATTGTAGGTTTATAGCTTACTCGTTTTTTGTTGGATTCGCTGAATTCAAAACATAAAATTTGTAGTCGACTACGTTAACTGGCTGAATAGTCTCATGTTATATTCTACTAAAATACACTTGTAGCGTAAATTTTCTCTGTTTAAGGATAAATTTCATGAATAAATGCTTCAATTTCAAACCTGGTCTGAAAATTACATTGGTGCCATTCATAGTGTAGTATATCCTATAATATTTAATTTGGGCATATTGTTGATATCTGCATACTATTAGTAATTGGTATATATCAATGTGTGGTACGTTTACGTGGTTCATTTCCTTTTATCAAATATATTTTTTGTCCTTTCGCATTTCTGCAGAGCTTTTTTGAGTGTGCACTAAAAATCGGATATTGTTTACCTCAACATCCTCACGCAAGTCATTAAATCTCATTGCTTGTGAACTCGAAATTTAAATAAAATTTTAATTAGTTAACGGAAATGGAACTTATACTGTGTCTACAATCCTATAGTGAACACTAACAATGTTTTTTTCGAAGACCTGATAAATTATACGTCCTTTTGAATGCATCGCGAAAAAAGTTTTCTAAGAGAATATAGGATATAAATTATTGAATAGAATTCATGCTTGTATATGTATAAGGCGGCATTCAATCATTCATTCAAATCATTTGCAGCAAAATCCGTTGCAATTTTCCTTCCTTGTCTGGTGAAAAATAATTGTCTATATTATAGAATTTAACGTTTTTAAACATCTCATAAGGATAGCTACAAGTGTTGCGTCAATTAGTGATTGCGTTGATTGATCTTATCGATGCTTTCCTAAGCGGCTATTGGTTTTATCGGCTAAAATATGCAGAATAATTTAATTATTCGCAAGTGTCAACCGAAAAGAGTGGATACATCAGGTGTTGAGCTTCCTTGTTATGAATTTGTTCGTTTCCAATTTAGCTCATGGTTATAAAATGACGTAACGTATTAAGCGCTCCATTTTTCTCTGCTTTCAATTTTTAGATGACGATTAAGAGAAAGCCAATTATCGCGTGCACTTTCTTGCATGTAAATGAATAGCGTTTGACACTGTAGCTGAAGGCAAAGTTCCGTCAAAATATTTTCAAATGTTAAGGTATCGTAAATTTGTGTAATGATATTATTTGTGAATTTTTAACAGTAAATTGATAGCATCTGCTTAATGCAAATTTCGATTTTTCGACGTAACTTTCGAATAAAAACGCTACCGTCTTTCAAATTATGCACTATTTTAAGATTAATAAAAACAAATCATTTCTCTGTAAATAACTAATCACACCATGTATCTTTAAGAATAAAAGATTTTGCCACTTGACCATTTTGTGATTTCGAGCACAAAATTTCATTCCTGACATTGTAGCTAAAAGTTCTGTTAAAACTCAAATAAGTTCTGAATATGCAATTTATTACATTGCTTATAGAAACTGTAATTATCCTTAAGTATCTTCAAATAATCATAATAATATCTACAGACTTTATTCACCAAACCCGCATTATGCTAAATAAAAGATTTCAGGCACAAATGTATTATATTAATCATATGGCAGTGCATTAACATTGTTCAAATATATTATACTTGGCGCAAATAAATTCATAGATTTTAATTCTTCACCGTACGCCTTCCTTAGGTTAGTCTAGAACTTTTCGACTTCATTAATTAATACGCTGTTCGATTTATTCACTAATGTCTAACCTATATGAAACGCGTTTATAACGCTAATATACTAATCCTAGTTTATAATGATATTATATTAAATAGAGAGAATCTAAACCAATGCTCTCGTTTAATTGCTATTGTAACTATCGATCATCGAATGACAGATATTTTCTCTAATTCATGTGATGAATTTAATGCGTTCCAAAATAATTGGTGTTATTCATCACTAAGATAATCGCCCATGAATGATAAATCTTCGGCTTTCCTTGCATGATGACTGAAAGACCTTCATCAACTTCCGGCGTATGTCACAGAACTCAACAATAAAATATTATGTACCGGCTTTTGTGTCGATCAAAAATTATGCTCCATATAATTGAGTAAATAATGGAAACTAAACTTAATTTACATTTTATTGATTACTTATAAAACACAAATTAAATTTGCTTGTCATCTATACCTAAACAGAAAAATGAAATAAAATTGTATATAATTACCTCGTTGTAATACACTGCTTGAGCATATAAATCATGCAACAAGTTTTCTTGTTAATCCACAACATGCAATAGATTAAACTCAAATAGCATAGAACTAACCTATTTGTAAAGGTGGAGACGAAGGATGCCTGATGGCGTTGGCTGCCGCCGAGCCTCGTGACATGATGGCAGCGATGGAGAAGTCGGTGGCCCTTGCTTTACATCCGGACATGGCGTCGTCTAGAGCTCCAGCGAGCATCATATTGCACACACAACCTAACACTTCGTTGATTTCAGTCTTGTTTATCGTGAGTTTAGTTATGACGGAGGCCAGTCTTCGGAATGATAACCGACACACAACCTAACACTTCGTTGATTGCAGTCTTGTTTATCGTGAGTTTAGTTATGACGGAGGCCAGTCTTCGGAATGATAACCGATCGCCAGAACGTGGATCAGCGACAGCTTTGAATTTTCGTGAGATTTGGTAATTTCGCGGGGCAATAAATTGTCAATGCGATCATTTATGCGCTAAATAATGTGTTTATTGACTGATTTGAAGTTAATATCGTGCAGATCGAGGCTATTTTTGCGCCTTTTCTGTGCCGATTATAAACAATACTTGAACTTTATTTTGAACCGACGAATACTTTTTCTGTCATTGTTTTAGTTTGGGCATACATTCTATATTCTCTTTCATCAGTTATTCTCCGCGAATTATTTAATTATCAACGGAAGAGTTTTTGCTTAAACAAGTAACGAAACCTCGTTTTAAATTCTTGTTATTGTGTGTTAAGTAACATATTTTCTGTTCATAGTCTTCATAAAATAAACTCAAACTGCCGGCCGAATAAATTAATAGAGATAGATAACTTAAATCTGGTTTAGCAACTCCGCAGAGTTTTACGTATTAGCCGAGATTAAAATATATATGTATAATGTACTGAAATTTTTTACTTTTAGGTCACGACATTGAGATAATCTGAAGATAACAAAGCCATATGTTATGTTAATTAATTTATATTATTGTGATGTTAATTTTTTGTCATAGATATGCTATATAATTTACTCTATAATATAGAAAACAATAGGAAAATTATTTTCTTGAATAACAAGACCGGTAAAAAAATTATTTACATAATAGTCTTTGTAATAAGTGTTGGTGGGGGATGCAAAATTTCACGAACGCTTGACTTATTTCTTAACAATGCATGTAGTTCATCTATCGCAAATAGTCTTCACAAGAGACTAAGAAACAAAATAAAATTTAGGGATTTATTTATTTTGATGGGAAATCTGCTGATGTATACCACTTTAAAATTAGTTATAAACAGCATCTGCAATATTTAATCATAGGACGAGGAATAATCCACTACTCATCAAAAACTGCTTACAAGGAAAACGACAAAATGTTTTGATTCTAATTTATGTTATAATTTCATCTAACGCTCATGGTGTTGCTCAAGATTTGATGTACTGCTGCAGTAAAAACGTATAATTTTCCAGATGATAGTTCTGAGGAATCGTGAAGTTTGCAGACACCGAATTTTAAATGAAGGTAATAAGGCATGCGATTTATTGAAACATGTGCGCAATTTAAAAGGAACAACTTCGTTTATCTCGAGACAAACCTTCTAAAATAATATGAAATGAAGAAATTAAGTATAAGGATATAACTATAACGCATAGCTACGGAACATAGATTTAACAAGATGTAATAATGATTTAAGTGATCGTTACGACAACCTTCTTGTTGCACATCTGTCCGGACTGCCAGTTCACAATACAACAAAACCATCCAGTTGTCTTATCATCACTCGATCGTGTAGTCATCATATACCCAGTGCCATGTTATCTCTTATCAATAACTTTTTCTACTTCACTTCTTCCTAAAGCAAAGCTTTGATCATCCAGCTAAAGTGTCAGGCTGTGTTCACATCTTCAAAACAAATCCAGAAAATCTGACCCAATATTCTTCATCAAGTCCGCTTGCTAATAAGAGTTCGTTTGTCCGATGTAGCGTTGGAGGGCTGCCAATGGGTTCACATAACCGTGCTCACTCTGCAAAAACCCATTGCGAACTGACCCAAGTCTGTTCCATTTCTGCAGCTCATCCGACAATCCTGAAGGCGGAGCAACCCTGTGCTGGGTCCAACTTACTTTCCTGGGGCCTCAAACTGACCAGATCGGCTAGAAAGGTTATGTGTTCGACTTTGAATGTTGCTCATTTAAACTAATTCTTCAATTTTCGAAGAATTTTATTTTTATTTGCTTTATATTGTAAGAATTTATGATGTTTTGGGCAAGGTGAGAGCTGCATATACACCTGAGCTGCGATGCTGGCTTGCGGACGCCTCGATTGGTCGGCAATACACACAAGTGGGAGGGTTCAGTGGGTCTAAGGAGGGTAAAATAAATAGATGGGCGGGTTGCACTTCTATCCATGGGTGGAGCATACGAGAAAAGTAATCAAATTACTTGTGACAATCTATTACATATTATTTTATTTAAAATCTTTATTATCGGCTCCTCTATAACCTTGTTCAGTTTCTCTGTATAGCAAAAATCCGCATTTGTCACTCGGTCCCAAAGACGGAACTTGATTTGCCATGCGCTCGTGACTGCCTTGCTGTGGAGAGGAGCTATCGTGAAATCACGTCGGCTAATCCATCTATTGTTGAGGTGAAGCCTTTGAAAGAAGGCGTGGGCTGAGACTACCTTCTTTCGGTGGGTGACAGCTCCTCCCCTTGCTGTAGCAAAACCTCTAGGCCTCCCCTCGGATGCACCCTCTCTCTCTCCCTCTTCATCTGCCTCTCCCTTCCTCTGCTTGCCTTTAAAAAGTTTAGGAAAATGTTATAATAAATACGTGGCCAGATGATAGTCTTCACTTCGGCACCTCCGAACGACTCCGCATTTGAGGTCAGTAGAGAGGAATAAAATTGAGGCGCCGCCGAGACGCTTTTTTACATGGGAACTTTTTTCTAGTCTTGGAATAATGATGAATGCATTTCACGTTCCCCGGAAATTAAATGCAGGAGTCTAGCTGTAAAGTAAATAATTATTTTGCGCATATTACGCGTTGTAAAGAAGATCAATGATTGAGAAGTGATAGGAAATCCTGTTTGATTTCCTCTATTTAAAACGACTTTGCATTAAATGACTTCTACCTAGTTGCTCCATGACTAGTTGCTCCATCATTTATTTGTGAAATGTAAACTTTGGTGTGGTAATATAAATAATTTTCATATAGGTGCGGTAATATAAATAATTGAACCACGTGTCCGGAAATTACATTTCAGCATGCAGGTACCTAAACTTGTGCCCAGAATTGCACATAATGTAAGGAAGAGGAAAACTCTCATTATTTTAATATGTTATTGTATGTGACAACCGCTAAATTAAGTGCGCATGACAACAACGTTTTAAAACTGCATTAAAATGTTTTTAATTTTCTTATACTCCATTAAAACAATGTCAATCTTTGACTTTTGTTCTGCCTTCTTCCATAAAAAAATTTTTGTTTAAAGTTTTCTTGCCTACTGAAAATATTCTTATTAACACTGAAAAATGCGTTTCAATTTATTCATGCATAAAGTTAAGTATTGAGCTATTGTTATCATTACCTCATAAAGAATAAATTTTTTTGTCTCGTACAAAACTTGGTACGTTCCTCGTCAATTTTAATTCAAAAGAATGAAGTCAAAGTTGAATAAATCGCCCTGAAAAAATCCTTTTATTTAATTTGAAAGATTATATTTGAACCATTTTCCGTCGCTCAAGATGCGCGATCCTGAAATTTTTTAATTTATTTAGGAACGGCCATTTGGAATATAGGGATGAAATTTACATACAGCACACAACGGAGATCGATGAAATTCGTCGTCAGTGATGTTCTTATATAAGAATTATATATATAAATAAATAAAATAAATCTATAAATACGAGAAAATTTATATCAAACATTACAAATGTGTTTATCTTCCTTAACTTTGAAACGTCTATATACCTACGAGACATTATTACCGACACCACATTCAACATCTATCTCGGCTTTATGAAAACGTATATTGTTCAAAGAAATAACGTTCATCAATTGTGGTTGGAAAATAAATTAGTCGTTCATATCACAGAATTGTTTGATGCAATTGTTAAATTTTACTGATGAGCTTGTTATCTTACAAATTTCTATAATTAAAATAAAATCCTGGTCACTCAACATTCAGAAGAATGAATGGGTTATTTTGTCCGTTGAATTTAACTGATGAGCTTGTTATCTTACAAATTTCTATAATTAAAATAAAATCCTGGTCACTCAACAATCAGAAGAATGAATGGGTTATTTTGTCCAAATGCTGGCGCACTTTCTTGCACACATCACGAGCATGAGCTGAGTAGCACTGTTAAACGTCCTCTTAATTGCTGGGCCAAACTGAGTCAGGATAACCCGGGCCAGGGGATATATATTGCATCACTATTTGGAAAAAATGTCACTCATTTTTCTGAATGTAAGCGTGTTTAAAATTGCATGCACTCTACAATGAGCGAAAATAATTTCACAACCTGTTGTTCTCAACAGCAACACGGAACTGATCCCGAGCAAGCAACTGTTAAACGCGGTACCTTCGTGGTAATGAATTGTTGGAGAGAAGGAAATCGTCAGACTGCGCGTCGATCGTCAATTATTGAAACATTAATTTAATTAATTCCCCCTCATTTAGTTCACGTTTTCCCCTCATTTAGTTCCCCTCACGTTTAGTTATAGTTAGTATTTATTTTCTGATTTTTCTCGTAAATGTAAAGTGTCATATATATGTCCGCACTTTAATTATTATCTGAAGTTATGAAGTTTAAACCTGCTTCACTAGTGAAGCTCGTGAAGCACTACGTACACTGAAAACTTAAGCTCATATAAAGCTGAAGTTTTCTTCACTTGAATGACTTCAACTAAATTTTCAGAGCATTTTATTGTCCTGCGTCGATATTATGTCTGCACATATATGTTTACGGTTAGGTTAGGTTATGTTAGGTTAGGTTAGGTTAGGTTAGGTTACTTAAATTCAACTGCATACGAAATAACTTGTTCGTCTCATCACAAACTAGCTGAATGTTTTCAGGCGCATCTGAAAACTGTTGATGAAATCCACTGTGTATTCAAGGCATTTTTAATCATGATGTGGTCATCTTGTTTGCAGTGAAAGCGATTTTCCGGTTTTGCGACTCGTAAATCACGTCTTAAAACACGTAAAAATTATCGTAATTAATTAAGTAAGTGATTAATTACGATTAATTATATAATTAATTACGATAAATTAATTGATTATTTAATTAATTATCGCAAGTTATTTGTTAAACGAAAAGCCTTATCTATATTTTGACGTACTAATTCACTATCACGTTGGCTGGATAAACTTAATCATTTCTTGCGCATCCCCCTCATTCAGCCGTACGTATATTCATGCCGAGCAGTGCAACGTCCCGGTGTCCAATAGTGATTTTAGAGTTTTAGCCTCCACAACCGGTGTTTCTGACCTACGAATTTTAGAATCATTATATATTTTTTACTAATTGTTTGTACCTGTGTTCTAGGTTTTGAACTGACGATGGAGCTGGACTCCGAAACGTTTTCTCTTATAAGAAATGGTGAAATTTTTGGCTATTTTCTTTGCTTTTAAATTCCTGGTAAATTTGCGACTTAAGCGGCCAAGTGATTTTAATAATAATTTCTCTTGTGATGTGTGCATTAATCCTCCCGTGGCATTAATAACTTAATAATGTTTACCAGCGTTACTAATGTTTGGGTCATCTCATAAGGCAATGTGTGATAATTTTAAACCAAAGATTAAATTTTCGCTCATAGTTTGCTTGTATTACACGTTAATCTATTAATGTTCTGCTCGTTTAGCTTTTGCGTTATGCTGAACTCTCTATAATTATTTACTATTAAAACTAAGATCACGTTAATTGGATCTGCAATGGG